TGTGCCAATGAAAAAATTATGTTGATTTAAAATATAAAAATTATTTTTAAAAGAAATATAATGAGTAAATAAAAAATAATTTTATTTTAAATATAATTTTCATTTTGTATAAAAGTACAAGAGTATAAGAATTAATTGTTAACTTAAAAAATAAAAATTAAATTAAAAAATTTTGTTTAAAATGTTGCGTAACTCTCATATTATTTTAATATATTTTTAAATAAAAAAAACTATATCACACACTAAAAATCATCATAAAACTGTTACCCTCGACCAGCATTGGTTCACTAAGAAATTTGTTGCTCTGTTTATTTACAGAAAAGTTCTTTTCTTTTGAAAAGTGAATTCCTGGAAAGTGAATAATTTGTTGATGTGTTATGAAAAATAAACTGAAAAATACTTTTTTGGTGTTTAGTTATGTTATGAAAAATAAACTGAAAAATAACTTATTAATGTTTTATTTTTCTCAAGTTTATTAAAATAATGAGAAATAAATCTTAAAAATTAAATAGTTGGATGAGAATGAAATTAAAAAAAATATAATTTCATAAATTATCTCAAAAAATAAATAATAATCAAAATAATAAAAATCAAATCTAAAAAAAATAAAGAAATTAAAATAATAATAATTAACATTTCATAAAATATTTCAAATAAAATAAGTATCAATCAAAAGAACAAGGACCAAATTTAATAGATAAAGAATTTTAATAAAAAAATAATAGGAGAAAAGTAAATAACAATTATAAAAATGAGGACCAAAATTAATATAAAATTTAAATTTATGAAATTAAATTAAAAAATAAATATTCAAAACAAAGTATATATAGCAATCAAAAGTTTGAGGATTAAATTTGATACAATCAGCAAATAATGATATTTTTAAATTTTTCACAATTTCTAAAAAGTGTTTTTTATTCAAATTTTTCAGAAAAACACTTTCCTGAAAACCAAGTCAAATTTTTCTTTAACTAGAATGTTTTTTGTTGATCAACTTTACTAATGACAAATAAACACAGTACAAAAAAAAGATTTTTCTAAAAACCAAGTTAAATTTTTTTTTAATTGAAAAATATTTTTCGTTGACCAAAAAGTGTTTTTCATTAACCGGAAAATATTTTTTATTAACTAAAAAATATTTTTTGTTAATCAATTTTTTCAATAATAAATAAATATAAAAACATTTAAAAAATAATTTTTAAAAAATCACTTTTAAAAAAATAAACAAAGTCTAAGTTTGTAATCTAGTAAGTTTTTCTTGCTTCTAGGTGAACACTAGTACCGCTGGAGCGTCCCTTCTGTATGTTAAATTTTTTGGACGGGGTAGCATATACTTAGAAACTTATAGGTTTGTATGTTCTGTTTTTCTTTTACATTTTGCGTGTTCAAACCCAAAAAGGATTTAGTAACCCAAACAATTTATACTTGAAAATCAACGGTTAGGTACCGAAGGAAACGTTTGAGGCTGGAGTCGTGGATAAAGGGGAGTGAATCCAAAAGGAGAAGGCAAGTGGAAACCTCTGTTTTTTTTTTTTTTCTTTTTCCCAGTAGATGAAGTGTTTGCTTGCTTCAACTCATTTTCCGCCTTTGATTCGTTGCTTGCTTCAAACTAATGAATCATGACATGACCTTTATACGTTGCATAATTGCATGCACTGATATTTTTGCTAACAAATCAAAAAATATATAATAAAATAAATAAACAGCCCGAAACCTAACAAAATTATTTATTACTATAATTATAAGATATTATATCAACAAGTAAGGAGTTAGTCATTAATTTTATTAATAATATTAATGTAAACTTACTATATTTATTTTGAAATATTAAATTTAAAAGTGAGCTCATGTTATTAGGAAGAAAACTGTAAAGTTAAACAAGGTTGTTACATTTAATATTAAAATTGATCTTATTTATAATACCAACATGACCATTAAGCTTTTTAAAGAAGTGAATTGTAAAATCTTATATTGACAAATAAAAAATTAACTAGTTGTTGATCTTATTAATAATACAGTTATTAACTTATCATATATATTATAAGAAGTTAAAGTTGTTAATTTTATTTATTTATTATTATTTTTTTATTAACGTGGGGTGTCCGGGTCAGCTTACGCGCACCATGACTAATCCCCACGGCCTACTGAACACCCTGCAAACCCAGCAAGCAGGTAAGGCAGCGCGGGGCTGACAGACATGCAACTCCAAGGCTCGAACCCATAGCAGCGGAAGGCGCAAGACGCCTACCACCGCTGGGCCAATACCTTGTTAATTTTATTAATAATATAGGTATTAACTTGTTGTCATACATGTTATAAGAAATCAATTTTAAAAGTAAACTCATATCATTAAAAATAAAATTATAAAAATAAAAAAAATCAAAACAAGTAAAAGAATTCAAAACAAGTAATATATAACATGTTGGTCGAATTATTACAACAATTGCTTTTTAGCACACGGTATTCAAATCATATTTGAATTGCAATTGTCCATTCCGATGTGCATTGTCTCTCTTTTTTTTCCTTTTTAATGATTGTTGAGTTTGGACTTTTGAGTGGAAGATTCCTGAGGCTTGTTAAAGTAGAAGCATGTTTTGCAGTTGGGCAAAATTAAGAGTTGGATGTGTTTAATCTCATCCATTAGTTTTATAAAAGGGGGATGATTAATATCATGTATAGCCTCGTATCCTTATGCTTTAAAAAAGAAGAATAAAGTGAGATCCAAGTCAGAATGATATGCTTCTTTTAACTTCAAGTATGGAACATTAAATAATCTATTTGTTTTTCATTTTAATAGTGTTTTTTTATTTTTTTTATTTCATTTCAAATTAACATTTTTTTATGTTTTTAAATTATTTTAATGTATTGATATAAAAAATAATTATTTTAAATAAATAAAAAATATTATTTTAATAAATTTCTGATTAAAAATTACCATGAAAATTAACCACAACCACAGTAACTCTAAATCTAACTAGTTTTTCTCTTCTTCTTCTTTTTACAACTTGAATTCGTAATTAGAGTATTGGGATAGAGGTATGGTGACTAGTGAGGTATAATTGCTTCTTCTTCTTCTTTATTACAATTTATTTAATGTAAAAAAAGCTATTATCAAAAGCTAGGGTTTTTTTTTCGTACGAGTCTATCCCAAACACATCCTGAGCCAACGCTCATTATTTTATTTTGTTTTTGTTTTTGGTTTGGGTTTAAAATGCTCTTATGCTTTTTGTTATCAGCAATTTATGCTTTCTTGATGGCTTAGAGACAGCCAAATTTAATTGGATTCTGAGGAAGTGTGAATAGACGTGGATGGATCCAATTTAACTAAAAAGTATTACCACTTCCCATTACTATACTCTAAAATCATTGAAAAGGATACAATTTTTCTTGAGCAAAAGCCAAGCATCAAAGTTCAATGTACATTCCCCCTCGATTATTTACTATGAATTTTTCATGAGCAAAAGCCAAGCATCAAAGTTCATTGTACATTCCTCCTCGTCAAATTTTGTGTGGCCTCATTTCCATAGGTACAGATACTTCTCCAAATGACTTGACAACTTCGCTTTCTTTTCTTTTGTTGCCTAAATGGCGCACTAAACAACAAACCTTTTCTTTTGTTTTTTTTTGGGGGCGGGTAGGTTACCACCTATTTTCTGATAAAATAAATTAAAATAATTTTTAAAATTTAATTTATAATTAATTAAAGTTAACCTATCAAATTCACCATTTAAATCATAAATTTTATTGAATTTAATAATTTTTTAAACTGTTTTTTATTTAATTATATAATAATAAAAATAAATATTTGTAAAATTCAGTATTATTCAAATACTTGGATATTTTTTTAAGATCATGATAACCTCATACAAAGCAAATTGAAAAACATCTTAAAAATTAATTCAAAATCAATTATGAAGAATGAAATTAAAGAATGAAAAAACTAACAAAAATCTAATGTTAAAAAATAAAATTAAAAAATAAATAAATAAATTTGAAGGCATATAGGCTTGGGTGGTTAGCGTGCATGCTTAAACTTTTAAGACAAACTCCAAGTTCCTAGGCTTGCCAACCAAGCTCGCATGGTCACTGTTAATTTTTTTATTTATTTATTTTTTTATTTAAGAAAACAGCATATAATGTGTCATTTAATATGATAGATAACTTGTTTTCTACCTGCTCAAAATTTAGCCACCATAGTGATTGCTAAAAAATCAAGGGAGAGAGCTTTTCTTATATATTTAAAATCTATTTTTAATTTATTTTCACTTGAAAAATACTTTATAAATACCTTTAGAATATTCAAAAAATAATTTATCAATTAAAAAACCTAATATACAAAATTAAATCAGGATTTTTTGCTCTCAAGCCCTATCTACTTTTTAAGAAAAATGCTTAAAAACACATCAATAAGACCACCTCATCAAATGGAACTTGTAAACAAGAATATAAGTTTTTTTTTTTTTTTGAAATGTGCTTAAACCAATAAATTTATCTCTCTTTTATAGTGTTCAAGAAACGTTTTCTCTTCTCTTTCAATTTCAGGGATTAAAATGTTTAGAAAATGAACTTTGAGGTTAAAATTAATATAAATTATAAAAACTGCAAAGAAAGAAAAAGAAAAATAGATGGACTAAACATAACTTTTCAAACAAATGTAAGACTGGCCATTAGTTGTCTTTATTTTTCTTAATAAATATTAAGAAATTGATTCTTAATTTAGACAGAAAGCTGCAATTAAAAATAATTTGAGGATGAAATTAAAAAAACAATTATGATAGTGTTGTAATTGTAATTGTAATGTAATGTAACGGCAACGGTAACGGTCAAGTCTTAAAAGGCATAAATTGCTACCTTGCTGCCGGCAGCATAGAGAATCGAGCAAAATTATAGCCACTAAAAATTGGAAAAATCCCTTTTTGGTGATGTCAACAGTTGGATTGTTGTGAACAAGCACCAGAAAGAATCTTTTGTTGTTGTCGTCGTTTAGTATTAGCAACAAGGAAAAGTCATTGGCCGATAGAAACTAGCTACCACTATAAATTGGACTGCATTTATAGCCACCCGTTCTTCAGAGAACCGCTTGTGATCTCAGAGAGAATAAGCAAGGAAAGTTTGAAGAAAACGGCAGTAGCAATATGAAAGGTGAATTATCAGAGGAAACTTTGGTGCAGGCACCTGCAAGTGCAGTATGGAGTGCATACCGCGGACTTGAGCTTGGAAGGCTGATCGATAAATTACTAGGCCATGTTGCAGGCAAGGTAGAGGTAATAGAAGGAGATGGAGGTGTTGGTACCATTGTTAAACTTACTTTTCCAGGTATCTCGATTATACATTTGATTTAAGTTGCTAATATGGAAATGGATTTTTTTCCCTTAAATTTCTTCTTCTTTTGTCAATTCGTTTACGAAACTAGAACACCGAGATTCTGAATATTGACAGTATCGATGGTCCTGCCAGGAGCTTCTGGTGGCTACATGAAGGAAATATTCAGGATTATGGACGATGAAAGGCGAGTGAAAGAAACGGAAATGATAGAGGGAGGATACATAGATCTTGGCTTTGATGTCTATCGCGTTCGCTTGGAGATCATTGAGAAAGATGCTGAATCAACCATTATCAGATCCACTGTGAAGTATGAGTTCGATGACACAAAAACTGAGCTAGCTTCTCTTGTCACCATCAAGCCACTGCAAACCATGGCTGAAGAAATTGGGAAGTATGTCAGTGAGAAGAGATATGATGCGTAGAATCTCTGATTTATTTCAAGACATGTTGACTTTGTTTCTTGTACCAATAAATTAGACATGTTATTGTGCACACGAATGAACATGTCAAAGGATGTTGCTTTGTTTTCACAGATTCGCTGTCAGTCCAAAAACAGCCACTATGCATACCAAAAGCACCGAAAAACCTGCGCTCGTAAATTTCGATGCCCATCGCAATAGAAACAACCGCAAAGCCTCCGCATCTCCTGCACAAGTAGAATGAACTAGATCAGACCTGCGCGGATTCGATCATTTTTTTTAATTATAAAATTAAATATTCAAGTGTTGCTAATATATTTTTTAATTAAAAAATTTAATCATAAACTTAAAACATAATAATTTTATATATAATATATTAAATGATATTTTTTTTAATATTAATACAAAGATATATTTGATGATATATATTTTTTCAAATATTAACATTATGACACATTGAATCGACTTAGGTTAATTTATCAAATCTATAACTCGAGTAATGAAATTATGATAAACCTATAAAAAAATAAATCAAAATAAATTATAAAAGTCAATTTCTAAATAATTTAAAGTTGAAAGAAGAATTTTGAAGAAAAAAATTAAAAAGAGGACAAAAAAATTATCCAAATCAGCTCAAGGTTAATCTATCAAACCCATAATCTAGGCCATCAGATTGTGATAACTTCACAAGAAAAAATTAATATGAAGTCTAATTTCTGACCAACTTAATGTTAAATGAAAGAATAGAGAAAAAATCAATTAAAAAATAACAAAAAAATCTTAATTAATTTAGGCTAACATGTTAATTCTATAACCTGGATCATGAGACTATGATAACTTCATAGAAAAAAAATTAAAAAGTTTCACTTTCAACAAATTCAATGTTGAAAACGGAAGTCAAGAAAAAAATCTAGGAGATCAGGATAACTCTATAAAAACCAAATTAAAAACAATTAAAAAACTCAATATTTCTCAAACAGTCTAATATTATTAAATAAATTGAAAAGAAAGATGATTGAGTTGTTAAAGGATTAATTTGAAAAAATAATTTAATTAAAAAAGGAATAAAAAAAATCTAGTCATCTTAGATTAACTTATTAAATCCGCAACTTAAGTTATGAGATCAGGATAATACCATAAAAAATATATTTTTTAAATTAAGAAAGGCTCCAAAAATAAATTCAATTATAAAAAGAGCCTAAAGAATTAACCCAAATTAATACGGTTTAACATGTTAAACTTATAATTTAGTTCATGAGATCATGATGATAAATTTATAAATAAATAAATAAATAAAATATAAAGCTTCATTTTCAATATATATATATATATATATATTGAATATTATTGAAATCAAGAAAACAATTTCATAAAACTAGTATGCAACTCAATAGAAAAAACATTGAAAAAAATTGTAAAGTAAAATTTTTAAAATAATATAATGTTAAAAAATAAAATTAAAAAAAAAACTCAAATAATAAAAGCAAAAAAAAAATATTACAACGAATAATATTCACGGGTAACCACATTCTTTATTGTTTTGTTAATAAATATTGATTTAAAAAAAACCAAACAAACAAACAAATCACCAGACAAAACATTCATCAGTGTTAATGGCAGGGGGTTTGGAGATTGGACAATCCTGGGCTCTCACTGTCATGAATAGCATGATTTGTAATACATTTAGCCGGCTGCTAAGGCTGAACCTAAAATGAAGAACAGAAGTGGTTGCTCATGATAAATATAACATTAAATTAAACGACGAAGCCAAATCTGAAAATGAGTTTGATTTAAAATAGGAAGCATCACGTGCAAGATGATTGTGACATTACATTTTTAAACGAACTTCACAATGCTTCCTAACTTATTGAAAATGATGTTTGTTTTTAGTGGTGACATTACCACAAAAAACACAATAACAATAACAAAAATATAAATTTAATATTGTTCTTATTCTTGTGTTTTTTTTTTATTATTATTATGAAGAGTAGTGCCTCATAATAAACACAAAAATAAAAGTAAAAATAAACCCCATTAATATTATTAACATAAATATGGGCCGAAACGAGGAAAATACCAGAACCTCTTTCTTCATCCTAATTCATGAGGCAACATGCTTCTTCAACTAGCCTAGGATGAAGATTCACAAGGAGACAAACCTCTTTCTTCATCCTAATTCATGAGGCAACATGCTTCTTCAACTAGCCTAGTATGAAGATTCACAAGGAGACAAAAAATTAAGGTTTTCCTGTTCTTTTCTTTTTTGTTGTAGTGTTTAAATTTTTTTAAATCCTTATTTGTTTTTGGTCTTGTTATAAATTTTTTAAAACTTTATGAATTTGTTTGTTTCTGTGTTTCAAAAATATTTAAAAAAAAATTAAATTTAAATTTTTTATTTATTTCAAATATATTTTTAGTATTTTCAAATTATTTTAATATACTAATATTAAAAATAATTTAAAAAAATTATTAAAATATATTTTAACATGAAAAATGATTGAAAAAGTAAATGCAACTGAAACAAATCTTTATAAAAAACATCATCAAATCTTTATAAAAAACATCATCAGAAAAAAAAGAAAAATGATTGAAAAAGTAAATGCAACTCAAACAAATCTTTATAAAAAACATCATCAGGAAAAAAAAAACTAACCTTTTTGAATTTATTTGAAGGACAAGTAATAGATACAGAGGAGAACCGACAAGAAATTTAGAATAAAAACGAATGGTATTATTTGACATTTTTTATTATATATTTTACATTTAACATATGTAGAGTATATATATAGCTATATAACAAGCTACATAAGACAATATAATAAAAGAAATTATAAAAAATACTTGATTATCTTTTTTTATTAGATAACTGAAATAATTTTTATTGATGAACTAAGAATATTAACCTTGATCATTTTCTTATGCAAATTAGAGAATATCCAATCATGAATGAAAAATATAAGGAAACACATTTTTTAAATATTTACCCATAAACTACTTAAAGTCATCAGTGTTGCCGTCTCCAAAACTGGCAGCGTTTCCGTTACTTGTATTCTCGATGAAAAGAACCTCGATTGCGTAGCACTTAAACCTCAAAGTTGTATGCTTTGTGTATTTTCCCTTAGATAAACCATCAAACGTAGTCCAAATCTCCAATTTGAATATAACAGTCAACGTGTCATTGCTCCTCTCATAAGCTAATGCATTTAAAACCTCTCTGCTATGCGCCTTAGCCAATTCTTCCTTTCTCGATTTGCTCAAAAATCTAATGCCCGTAGTTAATTTTGAATCATAGCCAACGGATTCGGTCCCTACCCTGGTTATATCCTTATCATTGGTTGATAACTTAGCATGAATCACATTACTTGTGCTTGGCTCCATGGAAAAAGGCTGGGAAAAACCTGAAGCAAGCGTGCTAAATGGGTCGTAGTAATCAACATTAGCGTACTTCTGCACAAAGGCGTGTATTTGATGGAAGTGTATTTTCATTTTCTCCTCAGAGTTTCGAACTGTTATATTAGCTTCCCAGTTAGCCGAAAAGCCAGGATAGGATGGATTATAGTCTGAGACAGAAAAGCTGTCAATGTGAAAATCAGGATATATAGCCCTCAACTCATGTTTCTTGATGAAGTTCGTCCACAACGTAGGTGGATAAACCACGGCTTGTGTTGGAGGAGAGCCCCAATCTTGAACACCTTGGGATTGGGAGGACATGGTTGTCGGAAGATGTCGAACACCTTCTGGTGGAGGAGAGTCCCGAATTGAACAGTGCGTTGGGAAGCCATGGTTGCCTGAAATGGCTTTATGGTGGAGGAATTAAAATGCCGATCTTGAACACGTTGGGAATCCATGGTTTACGAGAGGATAGGAGGAGGAGGATATTGTAAGGGCTGCACATTCTTGGTTGTCGGGGGTAACCAACAAACAAGAGGTCTTTGCGTTGGTTAAGATTTGACAACTCAGAGTAAAATTCAAGCAGTAAAATGGGATTTGGCTCCCTACCTCAATTGAACTGTCACTTCTGTCTCTGTGCTTTATTTGTTCTTTTAAACAGGCAAAGCCTGCCACTTCTCTGTCTCTCTATTAAAAAAAACAAAAAACGGGGGCAAAGTTTATAATATGTTTTTTCGTAGCATATAGCAGAACATTGCTTTGACTCAATTCCTTTATTCAAATATAATTGAAAAGGCAAAAGTAAGCAGCGGTGAAGAGGACAAATAAATTGCTGGAGGAGGCCATGCCTTAAAATTAGATAGCAATGGTGAAGAATTCTCTTATTCCACCGCGTCTTGCTTAATTTGGATGGCACATAACATCTTTCACACGATGCAATAAGGGGCTGAGATCGACTACGAATGCAGGAGGTTTTTTTTTTTAATATATAAAAAATATAGATGTTTATAGTTAGTTTTATGTTTTTACTTTTTAATCTTTACTTTACATTATTATAATTTTTGTAGGTTTTTTTTAATAGTTATCCTAGTTTATTCTATTTATTCAATATTACTAGTTTTTTTTTTATTGTAATATTCTTTTTACAAGTAAGATATGAACAATTAAAATTAAATATTTTACAAAAAAATTTATAATTATTTTAGTTTTAGTTTTCAAGAGTTTTAAATTGTAAAAAACCTCGTTATCATTTATTTCCGTCAATATTAGTTGATATAGAACTTAATACTTCTTAATGATTTTGACTGAAAATCTAATGCAATACTAGCTTTAACATCAAGAAATTAATTAGAGGTTTTATTAAGTAAAGTCTCGAGATTTGAAGAAAGAAATTTAATGATACAATTAATAGATTTCTTTAAGTTACATTGGCAAAAAGGTTCAATAAGGTTCTTTCTCTATTTCTTCTCATGTAGTAAAGAAATTACTTTTGTAAAGTAATCAGAAATTATCTCAATGCTCCTTGTTTGGTTTTTCAAAGTCTTCTCTCAAGGCACCTGTTTTGCTCTTTCGATCAACACTACTGTAAGTTCTGTTCAAAATTACCCATGCCTCCTTTGAAGTTTTTGCTGAAGTTATCATTTTAAGTGTAGCTTCATTAAGCCCTTGATAAATTGTGGATATGGCGTAGTTTGTCTTTGTTTCCAGATTCTCTTGTAACTTCCGCA